GGGGGGGGGCCGGTGCCCAGAAGGTGGCCTTTTTCTTGCTGAATGCTCGTGGCTGTGTGTGTGCTGTGCGGGAGGGGAAGCACCGGGCCAGGGGAAAGGGCCAGGGGCTGGACTCCATCTGCGAGGCAGTGAGGGACCGTGGAGGGACACCAAACAGGGGCAGCCGTGTCCAAGGTATTTTTGTAAACTCATCCTGGCCGCCATGTGGAAGACAAGCTACAGGCTAGAGGCCACCGGACCTGGGCGGGGCCTTCTCGGTGGAGGGCAGGGAGCAGGGGTCCACCTGGCGCTGTCTGGGAGTGAGGGTTCAGGTCCCTCTGGTCCCCGCCTCTGGGAGAGGCCATGTTGGCTCCAGCGTGCAGCCTGGGGCGCCGGCTCAGAGCCTCAGTCCTGTCCGTAGCCAGAGGAGTCAGAATGAGGCTTGTGACCATGGCAGGAGGGGCCTCCAGGGCCTGCCCCTTCCCCCCCAGCACCCCAGAAGGGTGATTCCACACGCTCCCCTCCGCCTCCCGGCAGGTGCCCAACCCAGCAGCAAGACGGAAGCCAAGAGTCGGGGCTCCAAGCCCACAGTCACCAAGGTGGGTGCCCCGGGGCTTCTGTGGCACTTGGTGGTTGAGGTCCCCACCCTGGACAGGGCGGAGTATCCCCCCACTACCCCTGGCAGGGCAGCCAGGGCAGCGGTAGCTGCTTTCCCTGGGAAGCAGAGGTCATCATCCTTTCCCCTGCTGGCCCCCCGGCACCCAGGGGGCTCACACCCCCTCTGGAGAGATGAGGGACTGAGGTTAGGGAGGTGACGCCAGAGGGGACCTCCACCCTGGAGCTGGGCCAGCCCGCTCAGCTCCGCCCCGGTCCTGTTCTGCTTCCTCGTAGATCAAGAACGGTACCGCCTCCCCCGCCAAAAAGATGAGCGCCCCTCCAAAGGCCGCTGCCCGGGGGGCTGGGGTGGCCTCAAAAACCAAGACGGCTGCAGCCTCTCAGGGCGGCGGGCCCCACACGAGGCTCTCGCCCCTGGCCAGGAAGACAGTGGTCCCCAAGGGCCTGAGGAGGTCCGGCGTGCCCACTAGGGCCGCCTCACTCAAAGTGGCTGGCAGGAAGGCGGGAGCCCAGAGCTAGAGGCCGGCGAGGCGAGGGACTGGCTGCTGCTGGCGTTTTTATTCCCGGAGTCCGCACTCTAACTCACTGTAACCTATTTATCAATAAAAGAGCTTGTTTTTCCCACACAAACTGGTGTCTGAGGAGGCCAAGGCCCGAGAATCTGACCGTCCAGGGTCAGGCCCCAGAGAGACACTCCTGCCAGGAGGGAGGCAGGCCTTTGGGGGTCCGGGCCTGTGTTTCACGAGCCTGAGATCTGGGACTGCTTCCTTGCTGCAAGTGGTTTTGGTCTTGAAGGATGGGGGAGCAGGGTGGGGTGCAGAGAGGGACGGTGGAGATGGGGGTCCGAGGCTCTGAGGAGGACAGGAGGGTCCGGGGGGGGCAAGAGCGTTTTTGCGGCCGGCACAGAAGGCGGCCCTGCCCAGAGGGTGCTCGGGGGTCCCGGCCGCAGGCATGCAGTGTCCGTGAGGCCGCGTGCAGGACGCGCCCTGTCACTGCAGAGAGGGGGATAGAGCAGCTGAGAGGGACAGGAAACCTGGTGACCTGGGCTAACGTGGGCCCTCCTGGGCGGGCCGGGCCGGGGTGCTCCTTCCGGCCAGCCTCGGCAAGTGCCTTTCAGCCAGAAGCAGAAAGCACAGAGGCCCTGAGCAGGCCTTGACAGGCTTGAGGAGCAGCGGGGCGGCCCATGTGGCTGGCCGTACCCCGAGCGAGGGGACAGGACAGGACTGGGAGGTGAGACTCGGTGACTCGACAAATAACCGAGGGCTCCCCAGGCGCGGTGGGGTCCTCCTCCTGCCCTGGACTCTGGGCTTTGGATATTTGCCTGTGGACTTCAGCCACCAGGCTGCGGGGAAGCCCAGCAGCTGAGGGAGAGGACCTAGGGGGCCCCAGTTTTTAGCTCGTTGAGCTCTGAGCAGCCAGTCCCGAGTTGCAGCCACGGGAGTCCGCCAGTTAGGAGCCTGGTAGAGCTGCCCAGCTGACCCCACTGGGAGCAGACAGGCTTCCCTGCCTGGCCCTGCCAGCCACACATGCACGTGGTTGTGTTGTTTGAAGGGGGGACTTGTGTGGCCGTGAACAGCCCTGACGGGGCCCTGTGGGGCTGTGAGCCAGGGAAAGGCGGCCCCGGAGGGGAGGTTTGAAGCCGCGGATTCTGCATAGAAGTGAAATGGGGAGGGATTGGACATGGAGAGGTGTGAATCCGGAGCTCACAGTTGGGGCCCACTCAGTTGGGGACTGCACTTCCTGGGGTGAGGACTCACCCTGGCCAGGAAGCGCCAGAGCTGGCCCAGCGGAGGGATGAGCCTGAGGCAGGGAGGGCAGAGAAGGCTGCGAGGGCTTGCAGGGAGTCTGAGGTAAATTGGACGAGCCTTAGAAACAGATGGGGCATAAAGGGAAACTGAGGCAGCGTGGGCCTCAGACGCCCCTTCCTGCCCTGCTCCCTCACCCCCACCGGCTCCTCGCTGGATCCTGGGGCCGCGTTGTCTAACTGCGCTGACAGCTTCCCTGGGTGTCTGTACCGTGGCTGCCAGCAGGGCCTCCAGGGCAGCGTGGGCAACGGCAGGGGGGGGCCCGGCTAGTGTTTCCGAGGCGGGCGGGGTCTGTCTGCTGCTGCCTTCGTGGCTTGCCGGGCACTGCCTGAGGGGTGCACTAGGAAGGCACTCGCGGGCCTCACTGGCGTCTCCTTCCCGGAGCCGGGGGCCCAGCACCCCTCCTCCGGCATGAGACTGGGCAAGTCCCCTCCCCTGCTTGGGAGCACCACACCAAAGGCCCCCCCACTCCTGCGGGCCTCAGACAGAGGGAAGGGACGTCCACAGGCCGGTAGCTGCCAGGCGAGAACTGGGCGCCCCGACAAAGCCCGAGGGCGGTAGCAGAAGCTGGCCACCTTCGGTGCTGAGAAATGACCCTGGAAACTAGAGATTTCCTCCATTTGCAAACGCATTTCTAAACTTCAAGACGGAATTGCATGTTAATCAGGCATTAAAACAGGCTGTGGAATATTTAATGACATAAAAAGATGTTCCCGACATATTGTTGCTCGGGGAGGGGAGGCAGGTTCCAGAACTTCTGCCTGCACGCGAGGCCTGATTCTCTGCCCAGCCCCCGGCCCTCGTCCGTGCTTGGGAGCGGCAGCGCTGAGTGAGGGGTGCGGGGGGGCTCGGCTTTGCTTAGTGCATTTTGTACTTTTTGACATTTCTCCAGAAAACACACATTCACTCTAGAATCACACCCCCCCCCAAAAAAGCCTCCTATCAAATGTGTCAATAACTTAAATTAGAAAATCTGCTGCTTAATAAAAAGAAATCTGTGCTCAGAATAGAAAATTTGAAAAGATAAAAGACTATCTCTCTACCCAAAGCCACAACAGGAAAAGGCTATTTTTAATGCTAAAAATTGTTTACTTTTCTCACTTTTCTGTTCTCATTAATTCCAGAACTGGTGTTTACTGGGATTTTGTTTAAAATGGTCTGAATTTTTTGTCCTGGCTCTTAACCTTGATAGCTGGGACCGTGATTATTTTTCCTTCATAAAGGGAAAAAAACAAAGTCCAGCTGCTTCTACTTTGGAGCGGGCTCTCGGGCGACCTTTCCGGGCGTGGGGCTTGGGCTAAGCCTCCCCGCAGCTTGGGCCCAGAGCCAGCTGGGTCTCTGCTATTTGCCCATCCAAAGTCAGGCTAACCCTCTCAGGGCCATGGCGAGAACAGCCTGCCCTCCTGGGACCAGGCCAGGGTCATTCTGGCCTGGAAAACAGTCCTGCTCCCTTCACTGAAAAATGGGGCTAACGATGCACCCCCCCCAAACTGGTGTGAAATTCAGACGTTCATGCGAACATCATCTCTCTCCAGGGTAGCCACGCTGACCTACACGGAGGGCTGCCATGGAGACGCTGGCTACAGGAAGCAGAGACAACAGGTGTGTGTCCCCGATTTATTTCTGCTTCCTGGCTCCGACCAGGGATGTCCACAATCACCCGCGTCAGGTTTCTGCCTCTGTGAGATGGGGCCACTGTGCTCCTCTGGGCTACCGAACAGGCCCGGGGAGGGGAGTGGGCGGGTGCTGGGCAACAGCTGGCCGTCCTCCTGGAGGGCCAGGGTGGGGGCCTCCGCACCCAGGGAAGTGGCCGTGGTCAGCCCAGACAGCTGTTACCCACGTGCCTGCACGCTGAGCGCCTTCCCAGAAGCTGAGTCACGTCTGCCCAAACCTCACGAGGGACGTGGCCCAGCAGGCCCCCTTCCCGCTGGCCATCTCAGGATAAAGGCTGGAGCTCACAGCAGGTTTTCCCATCAGGCTTTTATTATAAAGAAAGTTCCAGAGAGTCCCGGCCACCGGCCTCCAGCCCAGCCCCCACGGGCTCTGGGCCAGTCCCAGCCTGGCTGGGTCGGCCTCGGTGGGGGGGCAGGGTCTGCCACAGGGGGTCGCGTCGGCGGGGGGTGGGGGTGAGGGTGGACGGAGGGGGGACACAGGATGCGCGGTGTGCTCGGGGCGTCGGGGGGGATGTCCGCCAGCCAGAGCCTCTGGAACAGTCATTTCCAGTGTTGCATGGGGCGCCTCTGGGGACCCTCCCAGGGTCCTCTGCACAAGCGGCAGCTATTCACAGTTGGCGAGTGATAAGTTTTTAATATATAAAAAGCTTTTTTTTAAAAAAAAAAACAAAACGAAACGAAAAGTGGTGCTATCTTTAGAAACACTTCCAGCAAGATCAAGTAGCCCAGCTACGCTTGACACACTCGGGGCTGCCAGGCCCGGCCGGGCTCACGCACCTGCCCCTTCCGGGCAGTGGGCACCGCCCACCCACACACCTGCTCAGGCAACCAAGCTGTAGGCCGGGGCCAGGGGCCTGGGGCAGGGCTGGAGACAGCAGTGGGGTGGTGGCAGCGGGACCTGGAGGGCGGCCGAGGGGGCCTCCCCCCGCCAGGTTGGATGAGGTAGTGTTTCCGGCTGCGGCCTCTTCCAAGTTGGCTGCTCAGCGCTGGGCCGTGGGCAGGGTTCTCGGCCACCGGCCGCCGCTGAGGGAGGGGGGCGCCGTCCAGGCTGTGCTGGGCTGACAGCCGGACCCTCACCAGGGCCCAGCTGCGGCAGTCAAGTCCCCGTCCCGGAGGCGGGGTTGGGACAGACAGGGGGACGAGGTGGCCGCGGGGCCGGTGGGGTTCCTGGCCGGCGTCTCCGCCTCCCCCGAGCCACGTCCCTCGGGCTCAGGCCTCGCTGTAGCACTCGTAGATGTTGTCCTCCATCAGGGCCACCACCTGCTCGAACTTGTGCTGCAGCTGGGTCCTCTGGGCTGTGGGGTTGGCCTCCAGGGCAGCCATGATCTGCAGTGGGAAGCAGAGGGGCGGCTGGGCCACCGCCGGGCTCTGGCCCCAGGGTCCTGCCGCCGTCAGGGCAGGGGAGCGCCCTGCCCCAGGCGTCACCCAGGCTCCTGGCCGAGAGCACCTTGCCTGGCTTTCCCGGTGAGAGAGGAGGTGGGCGCTCACCTGCCGGCGATACCTCTTGGCGTATTTGTAGATGGCTGCCATGGCCACGTTGGTGTTGAACTCATTCTGGTATTTCTGCGGGGAGAGAAGGCACTGGTCAGCCCGGCCGGGCCCAGCCCGGCCCAGCCAGGCCCTCAGGCCCCCGCCAGACAGCCCGGAGGTGCCGCACCCGGGACTCCTCGGCCAGGTGCGCGTTCATCTCCTGCTCGCTGAGGGGCGTCATGTCGTGGATCTGCTTGTAGTAACGCTGTACGATCTTGCGGTACTCGGGGATCTCCTTGGCGTACAGGAGCTTGTTGGTGGGCGAGTCCTGGGCCGAGGAGAGACGGGTCACGCTGGGCGGCCCCGGCCAGGCCGTCCGACCACGGGCTGCCAGCTTCCTCCCCCACAGGAACCCGCCGGCCTTCTGGGGGCCGCTGAGCGACGCCCCGCATGGGACCGACCCTTGCAGGGGAAGCGTGCGCAGGCTGCGTGCCAGATCTTTGTTCTGTTTACATCCTCCCTTAGGGCGACAGGCCTGGGGCTAAGATTTCTGGAAGCATGATGCTGGCTCAGAACATTTCCCACCACGTTTCCAACACCCCAGAGCGAAACGAGCCAAGTCTGCCCGCTCTTTGTCACGGCCGTCCTGCTTCCCCAGAGTGTGAGCCGCGACGCCTCTGCCCACTCTCTCGCGGCTCTGAAAGCCAGGGGCTCGAGGCAGGCCACGCCACGCCACCCGGGGGCCGCAGACTCCCCGCGCCCGGCCCGGCCCTGGCCGCCGCTGCCCAGACACCGTCCTCTGCTCTCCTCCACCCTCCACGCCAGCCAGACCCTCCTCCCCCACGCACAGGCCTGGGGCCCCCTCCTGTGTCTCCCAAGCCTGGGTCCGCTGCTCCCCGTGGACGGCCAGCCTGGCTGAAGCGGCTCCAGGACCTCCGGTGAGGCAGCCAGGCTGTAGCTAACGCTCCATTCACGCCACATCCAGACTGCAGGGGGCCTCCTCCCCCGTAGATCCACCTCCTCCTGCGCCAGCTGCAGGCGCGGCTGACCTTGCCCAGCTGAAGATCGGAGATGGAGCAGGCGTCGATGAAGGCCTGGGCGATGACCGAGAGGCAGGCATCGATGTGGTCTGTCTTTTCGATGTCGAAGACAAACTGGGGGTTTTTCAGGATGTTCACCCAAAACCGGAGCGGAAGGCTGGAGATGGGGCGACAGAGGCGATGTGACCCACCACCCCAGGAAGCAGCCAGAGGAGCCCTGGCCCAAGACAACCTCTGGGAACCCAGGTTGGCTCAGCCGCAGTGGGGCTGTGACCCCGGGAGGGGTCGGGAGCTGGTTTTGCGCAGGGAGCAGGGCAGGGAGGAGGCAAGGCAAGGGGGAGCTGCAGGCCCCATCCCCCTGCGCCCCCCCGCCCCCCCCACCCCGCCTGCTCTCACGCAGGAGCCTCCAGCCTGTCCTGTTTCTCATTAGAGCCCCCCACCCTGCTGGCATCCCAGGGCTCCGTCTCCAGGCCTCACACGCGAGGCAGCAGGAAGTCCACCATTAGTTCGGGCCACTGAGCAGCGGGAAGGGCTGGAGGGGGCCCGGCTGGAGCCCCGGCTTTGGGAAGCACAGAGGACTGGTAACGGGCCTCCCACCAGCCCGGGTGCGTCCCCCGACCCCAGAATTCTGGGAAGCTCCTGTACTGGACAGAAGCCTCTGGGCCTGTGGCGCTTCCTCTGCCAGTCAGGCCGAGGCTTTCAACAGCTGCTTGTTGGGGTCTGTGACCCCAAAAGCTAAGACGTGCTTTGGAGGAAGGCCGCGTCCGGGGTCGGCTCTCCCGCCGCCAGGCTGCACAGCCTCGGGCAGGCTGCGCCCCCCGCCTCAGTGTGTTGTCAGAGCTGATGGGACCCCAGAGAGGGTGGGGGAGAACAGTGGTCGGCCAGGCTTGGGTGCCGAGGAGGCGGGGCCTGCACTGACCGCCCACAGCTGGGAGTGGCAGGGCAGGGGGCGCGGCTGCCAGGTGAGCCGGTGGGACAGTGTGGGACAGTGACGCGCCCCAGCCCTCACCTGTTGGTCTTCCAGATGTGCAGGGTGTCGGGGTCTGAGATCCCCCTCTTCTCTGCCTGCTCCTCCAGGAAGTCGAAGAAGTACTTGACGGCCAGTGGGGGCTTGTCCTCACGGATGCTCAGGATGGCCTTAAACAGGTCATCCAGAAACTTCTGCAGTGTGCCCTGGGGGGCAGGGGGATCACTGTCAGCCCAGGAGGGAGGGCGAGGGGTACTGCCAGCGGCGCAGGCTGGGGTGGGGTCAGGTGGAACCAGGTGGTCACCCCAAGTTTCTCATCTGTGAAGCGGGTCACTGAAACCCTCCTTGCCTCGGTTTCCCTGAGGAGCAGGGACTCGGCAGAATAGGGGTGTGTGCCCCAGGGTGCCAGTCTGCCCACTGGGGGCCAGATCGAGACAGTCTAGGTCAGCTGGCCCCCTCTGGCCTCCGCTGCACCCGCTGACCTACACTGTCCGCACGTGTGGCCGTGGGCAACCCCTCCTCGGGCGGCACCCAAAGCCCCCGGCCCCTCGCCCACCAGGGACGAGCCCCCCAGGCGCGCACAGTTCCCCGCTGGAGCGGCGGCCGGGCCCACCTTGGTGGACAGCAGGCGGGTCAGGTAGATCTCTGGGAGCACCTTCTTGCGGTGACTCTGCCGGTGGGACTTCTTGGGCTCCGCCAGCTCGTCCGTGGGCAGCACCTGCGAAGGAGGGCGGTGGTCACGGCCGGCTCCGGGCACCAGACCCAGCCACCCACGGAGGTCCGGGCCTGCGCCCGGCACTGGCTCTGACACACTCTGGTGCACCAGGGTGAAGCCCCCCACCGACTCTGGGCCCATCTCCACTCCCTCACCCCAGACTTTCCCAGGGCCGGGGAGCATGCTGCTCCCAGAGGCCCAGGCTGGCGGGAAGCCAGGTCCACACCCAGGGAGGCGGGCGCCCCCGGCCAGAGGCTGGGCACTCACCAAATGGAAATACTTCTCTGTGTCCAAGTCTTTCACTGCAAGAGGAAAACACAATAAATAAATAAGAGGGGAGAGGAGAGGGCACAGGGACGGAGGCACCCTAGGAAACTCGTGGGGAGGATGAGACAGAAAGAAAGGAGGGCGATCTAAGAAGACACCCAGAGAATGAGACAGATGGAGAGGGATGGGAAATGGGGGGCACCGGGTGGGCAGGGGGTGCTGCCTTCACGCTCCACCCACAGCCCAGAACCGCCTGCCCCAAACTCGAGGTCCCGCTGCCGCCCTCAGAGGGACCCCCTGCCGGAACGTCGGCTCTCGTGGGGCCTCGCAGGCAGCGCTGCCCCTCGACGGAGCTTAAGGAGGCCGCTGCGGGCCCTGCCAAGAAGTTCTGGGCCAGAGGGGCCCGGCCCCGCGCCCACCCCACGAAGGCCACGGCTTGGCCACGCTCGGCCGCTTGGAG